AAAGTGTTATCATAAAGACTAACTTTCGTGGCTTCCCCCACCGGATGCCTTGAAAGGTAATCCGCCAGGCCAATTTTAGCCCCAGGCATGTGTTCAATGACAAAATCAAAGGGGATAATTCTATCAATCCAGCGAGTTAATCGACTGAACATAGTCTTGTTTTTCTTATTGTTCCCATTCAATAAAGATAGCAAAGCCTTATGATCTGTCACCACAGTAAATTTCCGCCCGAAAATATAATTTCTGAAGTATTCGGAGCCCCAAACTACGGCCAGCATTTCTAGCTCATTCGTCGAATATTTCTTTTCGGCCGCATTTAAAAACCGGGACGCAAATGATATTGGTCGCCAACCCTCGGTGCCTAGTTGTTCGAGTACCGCCCCCAAACCGTTATGGCTTGCGTCGCACACGATACGTATATCCTTATGTACGTCGAAATGCTTAAGTTCGACAATGTTCGCGACTTGTTTCTTAATCGATTCGAACGCTGTTTGGCAGTCAATTGTCCAGAGGAATTCGTTCTTCTTACTTAGAAGTGGACGTAGAGGCGCCGAAGTTTCCGCTAACGCCGGTAAGTATTTGTGAAGACTATGGATTGACCCCATGAACGATTTCAACTGAGAGAGCGTTTTCGGGGCGGTTAATTTGTCAATTGGATCTGTTTTCCGCACCATTGGTGTAATCCCTGATTTCGTAATCCGGTGGCCTAACCACTCGCAAGTATTTTTCGCAAATTGACATTTTTCTAGCTTCAAAGCCATATTTTCTTTATCGAGTTTCGTTAAAATCTTCTCCACTAAAGCGATATGTTCGATCTTGGTACCTTTCGAAATTACTAATATATCATCAATGAAAGCATGCGCGCACGGAAATTCAGCCAGAATGGCATCCATGACCCGTTGAAATTCCGCCGGCATGGTTGTCAATCCGTAGAATCCTGTTTTGAATCGATATGTACCGGTAGAACGGCCTCCCACCAATGAAAAATTGCAATGTTTACTAGTGTTTTCATTTAAAGGAAGTTGACCGTATGCGTACGTGAGGTCCATCGTTGTAAAAAAACATCCCCCTGTTTGCGTTCGCTGATAGTTTGCCCTACGATGTCCATTAGTTCTTCAATATTGGGCATTTGGTATTTATTCTTATGCACTTGTTTGTTTAGTTCTCTAGATTCCAGTGCAAGTTTTACAGAACCGTCCTTTTTCACGGTGATGACAATAGGTGAAACAAAATATTTGTCTGAACATTCTTCCAACTTTTGGATATGACCCTGTTCCAACAGTTTTTCAATCTCCTTATCGACTTTTTCCTGTAATGTTATAGGTACTCGCCTACCTTTTTGTTGAATTGGAGTTAGGTTTTTGAAGAAATCTGCCTGCACCTTATAATTTCGAATGCGCCCTACCCTGTGAAAAAGATGTTGAAATTGCTTACAGAAATGTGTCTGCCACTCATCCAGGTCATTGTCCATCGCCACAGTTCCTTCCGTGGTATGTATGCTTTTCACCCCTTCTGTCGATGGTGCTTGTACCAGCATCAGTCCTAGTGAGGCATTAAATCCCTGCCAATAATAGACGGTCGGCACCCTCCGATGACGTTGATATCCGACGAACAAGTCCATCCATTGGAATGAAGCGTGACTTGCATCTTTCCCAGAAATTTTAACGGATTGTTTCCGTAATCGCGGATTTGGTCGTCTTGTGGATTCAGCGGTTTCAATTGTACGTTGACTGTCCCCAGGGTACGTTTTAGTTCCCCAATAGTGAAGATGGATATTGGCGAACCACTGTCAATCCAGGCTTGAGTTGCTTTGCCGTTGATTCTTAAGGCTAGTTTGGCCCCCGCGACTTTTAATTCCGTTTCCTCCTTCCGCCGAATTGACATAACCACATACTCCGTCGAACTATCCGAATCCCATCCATGTGCCGGTGTCTTTGAATCAGTCACCCATCCGACAGAACTTCCGTAATTGGATGCACTCTCCTCCGGATAATCTTGGGTAGTCCCGCCATTGGTGTTATCCTCATTTATCATGCCTACGCGACCCCTATTCGCCGATCGACGTCCTCTACAAGTTCGCTCATAGTGTCCCATTTTCTTGCAAAAATTGCAGGTTACATTTCTTGCTGGGCACTTTGGAATGTGGTCCGGGGTAAAACCACTCTGGTCGCAATTGTAGCACTTGCGATCTGCTGCTCCTCCGAGGCCCCTTGTGCCGCCCCTGCCAAATCCACGTCCGCCTCTTTGGAATGGACGACGGTACCCTCCTCTAATTGCGCTTATAGGCTCCGCTTTAATTTGTAGTGAACCCGCTGGTGCCGCAGTAAGTCCCCCACCGGATACTTTATACGACTTTGCGTATTTGTCCCCCCGTTCATATGACAAAGCAATCCGGTAGACCTCATCTGGTGTCTTAGTTGAACGGCATAGCTCCGTTTGGGCTTCCTTGTTGGACATATTTACTATGAATACATCACGTAACACCCGTCGTTCCAATGTTCCCAATGAGCATCTAGCGGCTAGTCCACTCAAAATGGAGTGAAATTCTTCTAGCGTTTCCCCGTCACGTTGTTTCCGAGATAGTAGCTGATACGTCTCGAATGTTTCGTTTCTTTCCTTGCGGAAAACACTCTCAAATTCATCCAAAACCCGTGGATATCGGGTAGTCGCCAGGTCCAGATGGGGCTTCCGGTTATGTAATTCGTCCTGTCCACGTTCCCCCAAACACAAATAGAGGTTAGAAATTAGTGTCTGCTCTGCTTCCACTCGATTTTTCCCATTCACCTCCTCTGGCAGACCGGTAATTTGCGCCTCAGTGAGCGTATTAGCAAAATAAAATGCCGTCGGATTGAATGAATGTTTTGCTATTACACCCCAGGTGAATCGTGTAATCCAATGCTCCCACAACATTGGTGCTTCCGTACATTTACTCGGCCAAAATGCCGTAATTTCCAGTGGATTTTTCCCTGATCCCGCGCTTTGTCCTGCTTGCTGCGCCATGTGAAAAATGCAGGTTCAATATCTTTAATTCACTGAACTAAGATTGACTCGTTTAGTCTTTAACGGTTAACAACAATGAATCCAAACATCGCAGACTAAACTTAAGGTTGGCAGGTATTAATTAATTAGTAGCCGCACCAGACACATAGCTAACCAATGGCGCCAACACGTAATATATGATTAGATACTATATATGACAAAACCTATTTTGAAATTATTTATTAGCCACCTCTCTGAGCATAACAACTCTCAACATTTTTCACTTTGGATGTTGCAAAAATATTTTTCTATTTAACTTCAATTCAGTCACTAGAAAATTGCTATTGTTACTTACATTCTGTTCATTGAAGTGTCAGAATTTTCGGTCAGAATGGAAATGATTAATATTAATAAAAAAATAAACAAATTCTTGAAAAAAGGAGGAGAATTCATCGAATACAACAAAACTTAATCAATACGTCTATACAGTTTTTGGTGCGATATTTAAATGAGATTTTGAGTCGTTCTAATTTGCAAATGAATTGGCCAAGAAGCGACTAACATGATTCTTTTCAAGTTATAAGTTGTTTAGTTTACTAAAATTTTACATCAACCAGCACAGAATAAAATTATGAAGATAATTTTAATTCATGTTACGGTCAAGCCGAATCAAAAAGCTATCAATAAAAGATAATAGTCAGCTTAAGAAAACACTTAGGTGATGAGCTGATAGTTATGGAACATTGAAAACCGGTTGCCTCTCGCTCAGGGTTTCAAGCCCCTGATCACCCTGAAGGCTGCCGCTTACCCGGAAAGTTTTCTCCGACATCCATTTTTGATTAGCTCAAAATAAAAAAAACTCTAAACGCCGGGTTAAATTCAGATGAAAATCATGAAATTCAGACTAACTGTTGACTTTTTAGAGTTGGAACAGGAAAAACAAACGACATGATACCACGCTAAGACACCTCAGAACGTTTTTTGAGGTTTTTAAACTATCTTTTAAACAACACTAAGCAATAGCTTCCCCCAACATAATTAAGAGTAAAAGTGATAAAAACAATTAGTAAATAAATACATTTTTTTTCGAGGAATTGACTTTTTCAAGACAATCGCCAAAAAACCAAAATAAAAACTATAGCATCTAGTTATCAAAACGTTGAAAGCAAGCTTCAAACGTTTTTTCTGCGGCTCTTATCCAGAAAATTGATAATTTTTTGCAATTGCAAACTACAATTTAAGTCGGGAACTAGTGTTTGATGGATTGTGCTGGGACAAGTTAAAACTTTTCGTTTGTTGTAGATGAATTTTGATTATAATCATAATCATAATAATAAATTGTTTCCAAACGATATCTAGTAACAGAGATATTTATAAAAACTTACAAATACAAATCGGAATCCTATGAGAAAACATCATAAAGCCAGCACGGCCCGTTTTCAGGTGTCTCAGTAAGCAGTAAACATTCCACAAAAATTTCAGATGTAAAAAAATCTTGAAAGAGGTAGAAAAATTTCCTGTTATGATAAAGAGTTTCCGGTTAAGGGCAAACAGTGAACTCCTATTGTCCGAATCACTAAGATTATGGGTAGTGGTAACCTCGTTGTCTCTCTGCGGGAAGAGAATTTCCTTCGAATAATCCTGAGCTATCCCCAAAAAAGCAAGCAAACTTCGAAGCAAATTATAAAAAGCAAGCATATCAGCTTTTTGCTATTTTATGAATAGCTTTTTTGGTCTTAATTTGATGAATTAATTTGAAATGTTTGCATTTTTGAGTTAATTAGGCTTATACTTATAGGCCTTTGGCGAAAAACTTAATTTTAGCCAGCTTGATAACTACTGCATCGGATACAACCGAACAGTTAAATATGCGCTCAAATCATCTGACACATTCGAACCTATAATCTATTATGAAAGTGCTCTATATTTCAATGGCTCTGGTTCACCGGAAAATACTCAAAAGTGAAAGCAGACAATTTTTTTTCCGAAAAAAATATGAACAAGATGAATAAATATCAAACCTGAAGTGTCAGCAGAACAATGGTTCCCCTACTTTGCAACTATTACCTTTTGTTTATTTCTGATGATCCATCTTTTAAACCATAACCTTGAGTATTTTACAACTAACTCCGTATAAATTGCTTCAATTTTTTTTTACAAGAAATTGTGGATCTTCATATGAGTTTTAAATGGTCGTTTTTGATATGACACAACTAATGTTTTTTGTAGCATTTCACGTTCTGCCAAACAGTAAACAGCGTCGAGAAGATCTTGAGTAATGATTTCAAGCAAAAATTCTACCAATAACAGGATTAAGGGATACTTGAAAAATCAAAACTTTGGTATTAAAAGCTAACTGTTCCTCTTTAGGCGTATTATGAAGGGTAGAAGTGAAAAAAAAACTATAAGCAACAGAATAATTCAGTTATGAAAAAGCAATTCAGTAGGTTGTTCTGTTCCACTAAAACGGGAGAGCTGGAAATGGAAGCTGGAAGTGAAAATATGTGGGCGCTAAGTGGGTCGCAATTTAAATGAGCTCAAAATGAGGGATCAACTCTTCTGCATTTGGTGTAGAAGTAACCCCTGGCTCAAAAAAGAGGCTGCAAATATTCACAGGGAGAAATTATGACTTCTTCAATCGCATAAAGATGTCTAAATGGTCATTCATCCGAAACCAAAATTGACAGATTCTCATGAAGACGAAAATTGACACAGTTCATGAATACTACAAACCAAAATGCAACAAAATATGAAAAATTGTTAAAAAGTATATGAAACCATATGTTGGTTGATAATATATTTATTAGTCTTATTCATTAACTAGTTAGTTTTCCAAAATACGCATTAATGCATAGGCAAAGCTGTATCGACCAGCCTAACCGTTGACTTTTGATTGACGATTATGATGCAAATTTTGTTAAATATTCGAAGGTATTTGGTAATTAGACAAAGTGGGATTTACTTCACTTGGATACTCAAAAAGAGAAGAGATTAAGTGAAAATATGGAATTGAACAAGATTTGGTATGTTGTGTTGGTATGATACCCACTCTCGTAGGTCATTAAGCAACCGTGTCATTAAACCGAAACTTATTCAACTACCCCTCCAAGTCAAAATTTCACACAAAAAAAATTTCCCAATTTGCTTCATCACTATAACGTCACAGATTAGAAAAGTATTGCATAAAACAAATGTATTGTATAATTTCGATTTGGATACTATGATTAGCTAATTTTTCTATCCACTGCGTGCAGACTGTTTCACAGCACAGTGGTATTGGTTAGAAAAAGGGTGGCGTTGGTACTTTTTCCTCCAAATTTATGCCAAATTTGCTTTACTTGTCACTTTTTACCATTCCAATACGCCTAAAAAGCAGTTCGCATTTCTGCGGCGTAAAATGGGAGTACGGGCACACTTCTATTCACATTCAATTCAAAAAGTAATCCTTTGCTTAACCGTAAAAAAAATTGTAATGATAATGGAACCCTATTTCAAATTTCTCTTCTACGTAAATTGATGGCTAAGCAGGAAATGAGCTGAACGAAATGATGAAAGGATAACCTAAGGGAGGATCAAAGTTACCAAGTACACGAGAAGGACGAGCTATATCAGCTACAGGACATATTGCTTCTCAACCTTCGACCGATTCTTGCATTTGTCATTTTGTGTAATTTATCTGCAGCAGATTTTTGATTTCGACCAATAGAGCGATCTCTCCCGCCTATTTTTGGCCGATTAGTCCTGAAACTTTGCTAGGATGCAACTTATTTAACAATTTACGCATTTTTCTGAGAGTGCGAGGGCTTGGGGTTAGTTACAAAAATTACAAAAAACTTGCCTACCATTTTATTAGTTTTCCTACTTCTCCCACAAGGTTAAACAAGACTGGTCGTATCAGGGCGAAGCCCTGAATGTTCCGACTGCCTTCTAAGATTTATGGAGCAATAATAACATTAAAAAATTAAATGAATTAAAACAAAGTGAAAAAAAAATTGTTCTAAAATTTGAACTTTTTTATGAAAATCATCCCCCCACACGCCATATAAAGTACAAAAGGATAGATATCGCTCCTTGTAACAAATAACTTATGGCAAATAAGCTTCTTTCAACCAATTTGGAACGATTTCTAAGACGGATTAACTGTGCGCTTACGCGTTAATAGCGCGAAATATGTCGCGCGTTAATTGTCCCAAATTGGCCAAAATGGCAATCTTTAAACCCCCGAAACTTTACGAAAAATGATTACAGGTAAAATATCTTTTCAAATTTGAGCTCAAGACAACAATACCTTTCGAATAATATTTAAAAATTCCGTCAAAAATGGCTAGTTAAAAAGTCGAAATTTGTCTGAAGAAAAAAAACCCACCCCGAGCACAAATATTCCGTTACTTTCGTATCGAAAGTCGGAACAAAAAGACCCCTTTTGCCAAAAAAAGTCCCGAATAAAGCAGAAGCGGTTTTTGGTCAGTTTTAACATGAGTCATCTGTTGAGAAAATAGTGCTTTACAACGCTCTCTCCCTTTTCAAAATTAGTAACACGGAGGCAAAGCTAAGCTTCGCGCCACTTCCGATACAACATAAACATAACAAAACATAGCAAGTCGAAAAAAAAGAATTATGTTGAAAAAACTAAAGAAACCAAAATGTTCGTATATTCAAAACAAGAAAACAAGGGGGCAAGTTTTTGGATTTTGCATTACATATGCTGGATGAAATGGGTTAGTTATTTTACTGGCAGGGTAGTTTTCGAGTCAAAAAGTTTACAAAAATTGATCAAAAAAGCACAAACTTGACTGTTCCGCGAATCATACTTTTTTGTGTAATAATATTTGAACGTAGCCGCTAGAGCAGCAGAGGTTCACACATCAGTTGTTTCGAGTGAATGCAAACACTCAAAATTTGAGAGTTTCGTTTTCAAAAAAAGTCAAATAGTTTCAAAAGACGAAACAAAAACCAATTACTGGTTTTCCTAGCGCCATAAATTTTTGTTTAGAAAAATTGAGCGTAGCCGCTAAGCAGGCGAGCTTCACATAACGCGTTCTATACATTTAACCCATAATCTCAGATTTGGGAGAGTAATTTTTGAGAAAACCAAAAAAATCTAAAATTATGGGTCAACCATTCCCCCCACAGACTTCTTCGAAGGCTGTAGACAGTAGGACAAAGAGACAAGGGGATTATGCAGGCACACAGGGGAGTAGGCGCTCTTTTCATTGATACACTTTTTAAAATTCCGGTAGAGTAGTTTTCTACTGAACTAAAAGTTTTGTTGAAATGTGAAAAAAATTTCTAAGCGTCTCAAAAAAGTATAAAAAAATCCAATCCCATACATTTTCATAATATCTGATTTTGTCGAACAAGATTTTACTCCGTCGAAATTACAAAATATACGTTGACTAAGCCGATGCAACATCAGCAGAAACCATTTCGTAAAAATTTTAAAAAAGTTTATCAAAATCCGACATGGTAAAATGACAAATTAAAAAACTTTCAAATATACTAAAAAAACACAATCAAAATAAAATCCTTGCTTTACAAACTAGTTTGATGAAAATTAGTACCAGATAACAAACAAGATATTTAAAACTAGAAGTGAAGATCCTCTCCTCTAGAAGTGATCCTGTGGACAAAGTTGTTTACGGGAAAAAAGTATAGTACCCGATTGCAATACCCTTGCTTATTGCAAGGGTAATAATAGCTACGAAGTTATCTAGGGAAGTTGTAAAAGAGCACCAATGTGGCAGCTTAGCTAAATGTAAAAAATATTGAGAACCATAATTTCAATAATTCAATATTTGGGAAATTGAAACAGGGAGTAATCTAATAGAATCATATATTAACACTGAAATTGAAATATCGTCACAGCTTTTAGTTTTCATTTAAAACTAGTTTTATTCGAGAGCTTCTCAATCGTGTCGAGTTTTGGACTTGGGACTATCTTTAGGGGAAGTACTTCTTTTCCTTTCACTGCTCCGGGAGTCGCGCTTTTCGTCCTTGCGATGATCTCGGTTTCGCTCCGAGTCGCGATGCCGATCTCTCTTTGGCGAGTCTCGTCTGTAATCCGAATCTCTCCGGCTATCGCTACTTCGTCTAGGGTCGTTGTCTTTTTTCCGACCGGAATCTTTTCGGCTGTCGGTTTGTTTTCTCGAGTCAGCTATATAAGGTCTATTTCTGTCTCTCGTTGACTCGTTGGGAGCGGTAGGAAATTTGCTCGCGGTTTTCTTGTCGTGACTAAATCGACATGTTTTTCCGTGATGACATTTTCCTTGTGCAAAATACTTGCAAAGCATCGTCGCTGTGTTGTTTTGGTTTCGCGCGTTGAAATTATTTCGCTGGTTTTGATGAAAATTCGGATCATTTTGATTGCTAAGCGATGGCGGGAAAAATTGATTTCCAAATCCGTTGTTATGGTTTCCATTTTGTCCGTTATCATAGGAGGCTCCTCGTTGACCTATTGATCCGGAGTTCGGCGGGAAACTGTTTGCCTGGAATGGTTGATTTGGAAAAGGCGGTTGACCGAAAGGCGGCGGGGTAAACAAGTTTGGGGTTTTCTGATTTGGGGGCTGCATGAAACCTGGAGGCATGTTGATACCAGGTGGAGGTGATATAACAGAGTTGTTCACAGGGGGAAAACCAGATACAGGAGATATAAATTGGTTCCCACGCTGCTGAATCATAGCATTTTGGGTGACACCAATTGGATTAACAATCACTTGAGGAGTTTGGGAGGTAATTGGTACATTGACGTTGATATTTAAATTTCCAGGAAATGGCGGTGCAGATAAGGCGTTCTTCTGCTGCAATGGATTCAAAGGGTCAACTTTCATTTGCAACGATGCAGCACCCAAAATTGATGGATTAATTATTGATTGCATACCGGGTAGGTTACCAGCCATTTGATTAGTCTGGACCGGCGGAATAAGACCACCTACTGCTAAGTTGGGTTGATTCAAGTCATGATGATTGGCTAATTGACCCAAATTTGGATTAGAGTTTGAGATCACAGGGTCTTCTTCTTCAGCGCCTGAGTCTATTTCCATTCCTTGCGGCTCGATATCATCGTACGGTATTACCACCGGATCCTGATTAGGTCTGTAACTCTCAATCAATTCGGGTTCTCTTGGGGAAGAAGGTATGGTCAACAAATTCGGGTAGACTTCTGGCAGAATTTGTTGTTCACGAGCGATCTGGACTTCCCTTTCTTTACTAAGATGACCTCTAGGTTTGTTCACTTCTTCATGAAGATCTAGACCGATCAATTTCCACGTCACTTTATCGACACTTGCATACGAAGTTGGCTCCACGCTGTTCACTCCGCCGACTGTCGACGATGCCGAATAGTTTTGTTGCTGTCTGATTTTTCGCTCCAGAAGCATCTCTCGCTTAGTTATGTCGACCGCATCTCGCATGTTGTCAACAGCATTCGAATCTCGATCGCCGAACATACTTTTCATTGCCCTTTCTTCGTCATCTAGCTCATAAATTTTAACTAGTACTAACTCCTCGTCAATTCTCCATTTGACTCGTTTCTTTCCATCATCGCCTTTGTGAACTTCAGAACTTTCTGATTTTTCACCTGGAGAAACATTTCCTGAATTAGATCCGCTAGACTCAGTTTTAACTTCAGCATTACTGGCGGCCAAATCCAGAGAAGAAGGTTTTCCAGAGCTAGACTCCGATGTTTTCTTGACTACCTTTACAGTTTTAGATTGGGGTGCTGTTAAACTACTGACAATTTTCTTCTTTTTCTTCACTGGCGATGGAAGCGCGACTTCGACAGGTTTAAACATGTCATCGCAGAGACTTATTTGTCGTACGACTGGTTTCGGCTTACTGGGAACATTCGAAGCATTCGGTTGTGTGCTTTTATGACCTTCACTTTTGCTCTGAACAACTTCTGGTTCTTTTTTCACCGTTTCTTGATTATTAATCGTAGTTTTCACACCAGCTTTGCCTTTCTCCATGCTTTGCTTAATCTGTCCCAAAATATCTACATTTTTACTACTTTGCGAAAACGGCTGATTGACTACTTTGAGATGCTCCTGTAATTTTACTTTTTTGGCATCTGGTATTTTACTTGTTTCGCTTTTTGTTGCAAACTTTTCCGAGCTCATCTTTTTGACATCAATGCTCTCATTAGAAGGCCTCTTCTTCGCTTTTTGAGGCTTACTACCCGGAGCTGCTTTAATATCAAACAAGTTAATTTCCTTTCTCACAGAGCCTTCAATTTTAAGCTTTGGTGCAACACTTGATGCAATTTTTGCTGGGTGTTTGTCTGTATTTTTACCTTCGCTTTTCGGAGATTTAGGCTCACTTTTGATCTCCATTTTATCAGTTTTAGAATCACGGGGACTCCTGTCAAGATCCTTTGACTTACTGGGAGAGTCATGGTGCTTATCACTTGAATTACTTTTATGAGCATTTTGTGCCTTAATTACATCCATCCATAATTCGACTACCTGGCCTGCAAGTTTCTGCACAGTGCTGCTCATTTTAGAGTCTTTTGACAAACTTTTGACCAATCTAGGGGTCGCATTTTGCTTCAGAACATCTACACTTACAGGGAGTGTTTTCAAAGCTCTAAGGACATCTTCGATGAATAGATTCGAATCGAAAGCTGGATTCTTCTCGAAGCTATCCGAACTGGCTTCGGAAGTAATATCAGCAAGCCATTGGTTCATAATTTTCCAGCCTCCCGCGTTAACAAACTTCTTCAAAAACCCTTCGTTTTTCGTGGCTAGAATCAAGTTCAAGTAAATACAGCGGGACTCCATTTTGTTCATGTCTCGCATGAGGGCGACTACTCGAACTATTTCCTCGGAGCACTTGATGCCTCCGTTATCGGACATTACAGGGTCTAGAGCTTGCAGCAGTTGATTGATTCGGTTCACCATTGGGGAATGTCGCACGCCACCAGCACTCAGGTCCAAGTCCACATGAACCAAATAACACTATTCAAACTCGATGGTTCAAGATTTCTAGTCTGATGAATTGAAGATGTTTTTTTTTATATCCGCGGTGAGTATTCAACTTTCATCAAATCTGAAAAAGTCAAATGTTTCAATTGCAATACGTTCACCACACTTTCTAATAACGAGTTAATTATCCATATTATAACAGTTTTCCTAGTAAAAGAACTTTAAATGAAACGGAGAAACGTCGTCCATCAACTCGAATCATGATATTTGACACTCGTGGCGTATCTACATCAGTTACTCAAAATAAATTTAATCTCACGTGATTTACCACTGACATCCCGGGGTTTCGAGTTTTCTGTTCGAACTTGTTCAATAGTACTTACGGATGTTGTTTCCAGATCCAATGTTACAATGATAGATTGACCCAATTGATATGAATACTGTACTTACTTGCTTTCATTACGTCATTTTTCATCGACACCAACCGAGTGAAATGACGAGTTCTCCTGCCTGCAATCTTCCTGTTTACTGTATTAAAATTTGCTAATTTATACTCATGGAGATCAGCCTAGTTTTAACTCTTCTTGCTCTAGTTATTCTATGGTATTTACGGTTTTTTTTAAACGTAAATAATATTTTCTGAAAGTGATGAGGTCTTTCCGTGCTTTCGAATTCCTAGAAAAAGCCTCATCACTCTCCTGGACTTGTCCGAAAAAGTATCACAGATTTAGTTGCACGACAAAACAACACACTCATATAGTAGGTTCTAACAATGGAACAATCAGGGGCGGATCTAGGATTTTCTCGAGATGGGGGTGGGCGAGGCGTGTTTTTAAAAAAAATGTTGAAAATTTTGTTTTCAGATAGACCAAGTTGATTTTCTGAGCTCTGCCAAATATATAATTATAAACACCATATTTGGACCCAATTTGTGAGCCGCTGGCCAATTTTGAAAAATGCAGGCCAAAAGAGGCGTTTTTTGACACTTTTTGGAAAAAAAAATACCAAAAAATTTGCTTTTTTTCAACGCGGACTCCGTTCCTCAAAATCAGTCTATATTGGCAACCAAGGCGCCCTTAGAAAATTTTAGGGTCGGTCAGCTAAAAATGCGTGTCTTAAAATAGGGGGACCTTTTTGGGTTGGCAGTGTATCCAATCCCTGAGAAGGGGCGTCCGCTCCCCCTGCCCTCCCCATAAACCCACTACTGGGCATTTAAGGCTACTGAGTCTTTAAGATAGTGTCGGTACTTTGCATATTGGTATAAATCTCATCTGACAAAAATATCATTTACAATGTAAATAGCACAGACTGTCCGATCACAGATGATAAAATAGTGTTGCCTTTCAATATGATTTTTCTACGAACAGTTTATTTTAATATTAAATATTTATGTGATCATGCTGTTTATGTGAATTAAAAAAAAAAGGTTTTCGAACATTTCATATTTTCACAAACTTCAAATCTGAGAGGTTAAACATTGCACTTAGTAGATTTAGATTTGAACTTATATGATATATTATGTGTTTCAGTAAAAAAAAACTATACTTTGATAAATTAAAAAAGCAAAAAACGTGCAAGAAGTAGCTCTAAAAACTAAAAAAAATATATCACAAATATCAGAAAATGAGAATAAGCCTGTAAAAAAACTTGAGATAGATGGGGCCGAGTCCACTATCTGTGGCAATCAAGTTGAAGACTTGCCGCTTGAAGACTCAAGCCTTATATCTGTTAATTTCATACAAGTTTTTTTACTTCATACCAAGCAGCATTGCAGGATTAATGAACCGGAAAATACATGTTGGTAAATTGACTGATAGAAATTATGCCTTACACAAAAGTTGAACACATAACTACAAATTTCGTCGGAAATAAATTGAATAGGTCTTAAATAGGTTGCTGGTGTAAAATAAAAAAAAGAGAAAGCACGATTCTCGGATTGCTCTGCAAGTAGCCCAGAAAGTTCCGAAAAAAAATACGAAAAAAAAACGTGTGTCATTTTTCGAGCGTGGTTTGATGCGAGAAGCCAGACAAAAACTTAGAATTTTAAGTAATTAAGCATAATTGTCTACCGTTATCTTTAAAAAAGGAATAAAACTTTTCACCTCATGAAAAGTTTACTCGCTCGAAACTAAACTTAAAAACTCGAACCATTTTTTTTCAGCTGAATTTTTTGGAACTTTTGATGTCGTTCGAATCACGACTGAAAAGACTTTAATTGATAAATCACTGAAGCCATCGTTAAAGGTACCTGATTTTACGTGGAAAAAAAAGTAAAAAACCAAAGCACACTCGAAGACTAAGTTCCTCTCCACTTCAGTGGTCGGAGCAAATGTCAATTCACATAAAAATTAATCTTATTAAGGCAAAGACAATAGATAACAAAATGATTGAGATATAAAGCATAAAAATGTCAATTCTGTAACGCTATGATTTTGCGGACCAATGGAAGTATCCAATACGCAAAGAAGATAAGTTCTTTGCTAACGGCTAAGACTAAAAACAAAAAGAGGCTTCGTAGAAAATTACCTAGCCGTGTACAAAACCAATTTAAAAAATCGTCCTCATCCGTAGAATTTTTTCAGAGAAAATAACCTCATTACAAGCTGAAAAGACAAGGAACAAGTAAATACTGCAAAAATTTTGCAGAAAGCTGTTGATCCAAAGAAAAAAATCTTCAAGAAACTGAAGACTACCGTTTAAAACAAAAAATCGATAAACCGAATTCGAAAACAAATTTCAAATTTCTTAAAATATATGTTGAGTACTTCGCGATAGCTCAAACATTTGACTTTTCGGATATTTAGTTTAGGAATAAGATTTATCTTGGTTTCGATGGAGCGGGTAAAAATATTCACGGAACATCAACAAGTATTCATCTGAATCTGAATTCATTGATTTTTATTGATTGTCCACTTGTTCTTTCACGACATTTGCAAACGTACCGTACAGTTTGCAAATTTCGTGAAAGCGGACGGAAGGAATTAGGTCAAAAATTCAGCCTTGAAAAAATTATAGTTAACTCTTAAAAAAATTAGACCGAAATAGCTAACAACCGATGAAACTTTGAGATTATTATCATTGATTTTGAAAACGTGTACTGGTTTGCAAAAACACATTTTTTTTAAAAGCAAACTGTCAAGAAATGAAATTTAAATTTTTTTTTTAACTGCTTAGAAGCTTGAAATGGTTCGCCTAAGTTCCGGTTTTTAGAAGCAGGCTATCGGCAAGGAAACTTCGAAATGATTTTAGTTGTGTTGATAACTTAGGCTGGTTCGCTAGAAGCTTGAATTTTCTGAAGCAATCTATGAAACAGTTCAAGTTGGTTTGATAGCGTTAACTGGATTGCATAAAATTAGTTTTTTCAAAGCAAGCTATCATCTGATAAAGCTTTGAAAAATTTTAAGCAATTCGATAGCCGGAATAGTTTCCGAAAAAAGTTTTCTATTCAATCAAGTTTTCCAGTCGACTAGCCACACCAACTTTGCATGTAATACATTGGAAAATATAGAGCCGAATTGTGTATTATTTATGCAGTTCAAAAATTCACATGAAATATCAAAATACATGCTATTAAATAGCCTAATTAACGTCCTTGATGTTCCACCTAACGTTGAGACGCAAATTATGTCTGAAATGGGTCAATTGACACATTTAATTAATTATTCATTAATCCGATTACTCTCAAGAAAGGAAGGAACTATTGCGTACATAACAAATTTTTTGGTGCTCATGTTGATTGATTTTGCACACAATTTTTCTGAAAAAATACCTTTTGCAGGCAAAAACTCTGCACACTTTTGCAATTCCCCGTATCTCAAATCAATTGGTCAGAAATTTTTTAAGGACATTACATCAGCAAGTTAGTTTTATCAAGGACAGTATATTACAAAAAACCTCTTTTTTGAAACAAAAAGAGGGCATCAAATTAAAGTGATTATCCAAAAATGTGCCAAGATATTTTACCTTGACCTGTCCAAAGCCTCTGATTTTGAAAATTTTAAATTTTAATATATATCGATTTCTTCTTAAACACTGCGAGTGGTGAAACGTCAAATATGTCTAACAATTAAATATTAGATGATTTTAATTTTAGGTCACTATGACTAGGAACGCAACCGTCAGCGCTTAATAAGCATTCAAAAAATTCAATCGGGCGGCCATTAAGCCGCCAATTTATGGGTAGACACCAGTTGAGCTTAAAACAAAACTGTGGTTATGAAGAATTTTGAGCTATAAGTTTTGAAAATCCCTGTAGAGAAACATAAAATAAAAAATCAGATTCTCCTTTCAAAAACGCAAAACATTAACTATACCAATATAACATTAGTCGAATGAACCTGTGAATAAAAAAATGGAAGACGAAGCTGAACAAAACTCAGGGTGGGTAAATTTTAAAATCAGTCGAAAACTAAATGACTTTCAATTACCTTGAAAATTGCTTTGATCACAAAAAATCGTGCTGTGGCAGCTGAGATAGCAAAAAATAAGCAGAGAAACGATTGACCGAAATTTTTGTTTCATACGTTAATTCACTTAAAAAAACAGGTGCTAGCCGAATTTGAACCCATGACCTTTGCCCTCCCAGACGTAAATTAACATCAGCGCCAAGTAGACAGAAAGAGACGGGGAAGCTATCAAATCATTCGGTGATTCCGTTAGACAAGTTGATAACATGAGAAAAAACTTAGTTTAGGATTAATAACGCTTGTTAATCGCAAGCTGGAACAATAGTTCAGAAAAGGCTCCTACAAATTCTCTAAGAAAAGTTGCTCCAGAGAAGATTAAAGTTCAGTTTGCGTGCGTTTTCAATCTCATATTCTAGATCAATCTAATCAATTGCTTTACACCATAAGTCATCAGATGGCAAAGAAGCTTAGAATAGACTTTGATATGATTCAGTGTTTTTACACGTTATACAATATTCGAAAAATTATACGAAAAAACCCTTATACGATATAAGTTTATACGAGCTATCGGACTTAAACGATATACTACGATTATACAAAACCGATAAGTGGCTACTTTTTGTGTGAGATAATGATTTTTTCATTGAGCACTGCAAAACGATCGATAGTAGGGGCGGCTCAACTCCAAAATCAAAAGTTTTCCGAGTAATCAGA